AGCGGGGGCAACGCCGAGGGTTGCGATCCTGTTGCCGGTCCCGGTCCAGTACCGGCGCGACACTGAGGGTTGCGATCCGTTGCCGGTCACGAAAAAAAAACAAAAAGACAAAAAAAAAAAAAAAAGAAAAAAAAAAAGAATATGTGATAGAAACCAGATGGCCCACAAAGCATGAAATATTTACTATCTGGCCCTTTACAGATATATAGAATATTATATACATTAAATTACACAACCCAAAATTTTATAATTTGCAAAAATTTACAAAATACTCTCTTACATTAATTGTCATAAGGTGTTGGTAGCGGATGGAGCCCATATTCTTTAGCATATGGCCCTCATCAAAAATTGCATAATTAAGTTTCAGCCGTCGAAACAAACTACGGTCATCAGAACTGCTGATCGCACAATTATACCTGTCAACCAAAAGAAAAAATTTAAGAGTATACCTTTAACAGCTGGGAGCCAACTGAGATTTAATGGTTTTTAAAATTATTTTTTATTTATATGTTTCTAATAGTCAGTACCTAAAGGACAGCACTAGACATAACTCGTAGTCAAATAAATACTGAAGTATTTGTATCTGGTAATTATTGACATACATGTAACAAAATTATAAAACCTGCAATATGTGATTAAAATAAAAATTTAAATACTGTAATTAGACAACTTCACACCTAGGAAGGAGGCCAGTTTGGGTACAATCATAAGTTCTCTGCCAGATATTTATGGCAAATAATTATAACACTAAATAGTGGCTAACTTACTGAAAGTTATATTTTTCATCCTTATTTCTGTCCTAACTTAAATTTTTCATTGGGAGAATAAAATTTATTTGTATTTATTATTATTATTATTATTATTTTTAATTAGTTTGAGGTTTATTAGCAATGAGGCTTATTTATTTGAATTGTCCTTTTTAAATTTTTTAAATTTTAATTTATCAATACACAATGTAGTTGATTTTTGTGTCCTTCTACCAATTCCTTTTTCCCTTCCCTTTCCCCCCTTCCCACCCATCAACATCATATCTCTTCACTTGTCTTAACAAGTTCAAGGAATTGTGATTGTTCTGTCTTCACGCCCCCCCCCCCCCCCCGGTTGTTTGTATATTTATTTATTGCTTTTCAGCTCCCACAGATAAGTGAGAACATGCAGTATTTCTCTTTCTGTGCTTGACTTATTTCACTTAATATAATTTTTTCTTTTTTTTCCTTTTTGTCTTTTTCCGTGCCTGGCAACGGATCGCAACCCTCAGTGACGCGCCCGTACCGGACCGGGACAGGCAACGGGATCGCAACCCTCGGTGTTGCGCCCGCACCTCGCTCAGCCAGTGAGCGGGAACCGGTCTGTATGTGGGATCCGAACCCTCGGCGGGAGTGCCGCCGCGCTCCCAAGCGGCGCACTGTAGCAGTGCGCCACCGGGCTGGCCCAATATAATTTTTTCTAAGTCCACCCATGTTGCTGTCTTTTTATAGCAGAGTAGTACTCCATTGTGTAGATACACCACAGTTTCCTTATCCACTAATCTGATGATGGACATTTGGGCCAGTTCCAACTCTTGGCTATTGTAAATAGTGCTGCAATAAACACTGGAGTACACGTATTCCTTCAACATGATGATTTCCATTCCTCTGGGTATATTCCCAGCAGTGGAATAACCGGGTCATATGGTAGATGTATCTGTAATTGTTTGAGAAACCTCCGTACCATTTTCCATGAAGGCAGCACCATTTTGCAGTACCACCAACATTGTATGAGGGTTCCTTTTTCTTCACAACCTTGCCATCATTTATCATTCTCAGTCTTTTGGATATTAGCCATCCTAACTGGAATGACGTTGTATCTCAAAGAGATTTTGATTTGCATTTCCCAAATGCTGAGTGACGTTGAACATTTTTTCATGTGTCTGTGGCCATTCATGTATCTTCCTTTGAGAAATGCGTATTCAGCTCCTTTGCCCATTTTTAAATTGAGTTACTTGTTTTTCTGCTGTAAAACTGTTTGAGTTGCTTGTATATTGTTGATATTAATCTTTTGTCAGATGTATATTTTGCAAATATTTTCTCCTACTCTGTTGGTTGTCTTTTCACTCTGTTGTTTCTTTTGTTGTGCAGAAGCTTTTTAGTTTGATATAATCCCATTTGTTTAATTTTCCTTTGGTTGTCTGTGCTTTGGGGGTTGTACTGATGAAGTCTGTACCCAATCCTACTTCCTGGAATGATTCCCCCATTTTAAGAAATTTTATTGTTTCAGGGTGTATATTTAATTCTTTACTCCATTTTGAGTTGATTTTGGGAGGTATGGATCTAGTTTCATTCTCCTGCATATGAATATCCAGTTTTCCCAGCACCATTTGCTGAAGAGGCAGTCCCCCAGTGTAGACTTGGTACCTTGGTCAAAGATCTGATGGCTTTAGGTGTATGGGTTGATTTCTGGATTCTGTATTCTATTTCACTGATCCATGTGTCTGTTTTTATGACAGTAGTACCATGCTGTTTTGTTTATTACAGCTTTGTAGTATAGTTTAAAGCCAGGTAGTATTATGCCTCCAGCTTTATATTTTTTGCTCAGAATTGCAATTCGTGGTCTTTTGTTATTCCATATAAATGCTAGCATAGTTTTTTCCATTTCAGAGAAAAATGTCATTGGAATTTTGATGGGGATTGCATTGAATCTGTAGTTCACTTTGGGTAGTATGGACATTTTCACAATGTTAAATCTTCCGAACCAAGAGTATGGGATATCTTTCCATCATCTTCTGTCCTCTTTAATTTCTCTCAACAGTGGTTTGTAGTTCTCATCATAGAGATTTCTCACATCCTGGGTTAACTTTATTCCTAAGCATTTTATTTTTTTGGTGGCTATTGTAAATTGGCTTTCTTGATTTCTTTCTCTGCATGTTCACTGTTGGAGTACAGAAATACTATTTATTTTTGTGTGTTGATTTTGTATCCTGCAACTCTGCTGAAATCATTTACTGACTCTAAGAGTTTTTTTGTAGAGGCTTTAGGTTGTTTGATATACAGGATATCATCTGCAAACAGGGACAGTTTGACTTCATCTTTTCCAATCTGGATGCCCTTTATTTCCTTTTCTTCTCTGATTGTTCTGGCTAGTACTTCCAAAACTATGTTAAATAGGAGTGGTGAGAGTGGGCTTCCTTGTCTGGTTTCTGTTCTTAAGGGAAAAGCTTTCAGCTTTTCCCCATTCAGGATGATACTGGTGGTGGGCTTACCATCCCATTCAGGATGATACCGGCAGTGGGCTTATCATACATGGCTTTAATTATGTTGAAATACTTCCTGTTTTTACCTAACTTGTAGAGAAACTTTATCATGAACGAATGTTGAATTTTGTCAAATGCTTTGTCTGTGTCCATAGAGATGACCATATGGTCTTTGTCTTTGATTTTATTGATGTGGTGTATCACCCTTAGTGATTTGTGTATGTTGAACCAACCTGGCATCCCTAGGATGAATCCCACTTGATTATGGTGTATAATTTTGTGTATGTGTTGCTGTATTCTGTTAGCTAGTATTTTACTGAGGATTTTTGCATCAAGGATATATTCATCAAGAATATTGGTGGTGGTTTTCTTTTTTCGTTGTATCTTTGTCTGGTACTGGTATCAGGGTGATGTTTGCCTCATAGAATGAGTATGGGAGAATGGCCTCTGTTTTATTCTTTTGGAATAGTTTGTAGAGAATTGGTATCAACTCCTTTTTTAAGGTTTGGTAGAATTCTGCTGTGAATCCATCTGGTCCTGGGCTTTTCTTTGTTGGGAGCCTTCTGATAACAGCTTCAATCTCTTATTGTTATTTGTCTGTTCAGATTTTCTGTATCTCCTTGGCTCTGTTTTGGTATGTACAGTTTGTGTGTGTCCAGAAATTTATCCATTTCCTCCAGATTTTCAAATTTGTTGACATACAGTTGTTTACAGTAGTCTCTAATGATTCCTTGTATTTCTGAAGTACCAGTTGCAACATCACCTTTTCCATTTCTAATTTTTGTTATTTGGGTCTTCTCTCTTCTTTTTTTAAAATTAGCATTGCTAATGGTTTGTCAATTTTATCTATCTTTCCAAAAAACCTACTTTTTGTTTCATTGATCTTTTGTATCATTTCTTGGGCTTCTATTTCATTAAGTTCTGCTCTGATCTTAATGATTTCTTTCTCTGCTAATTGGGTTTGGATTGTTGTTTTTCCAGTTGTTTAAGGTAAAGTAGTAGGTTGTTTACTTGCTATCTTTCCATTCTTCTGAAGCACTTAATGCGATAAATTTCTCCCTTAGTACTGCTTTTGCAGTATCACCCAGGTTTTGGTATGATGTATCATTATTTTCATTACTTTATTTTTTTTTTTTGTTAAATTTTTATTTTGTCAATATACAATGTATATGATTATTATGGC